GCTAGAGGGTAGAGGAGCCTAGTGCCTCCCACTACATGGGGGCGTGGGGGGCACGTGGTCTCTGTTTTCCTTAATATGTGATCTACAGTTAGGTAAAATCTCCAGACTTCTAAGACCCTCTGAGTTCCTCGTATATGTTACAAGTCTCTAGATATAAAGATCTTTGGGAAAGATTTTTTTAGTACAGCCCAGCTGTTGTATACTTTTCCGGCTTCCCTGATCTGTTGTTAAAATAACCATGCTCCATTAACAAGAACACTTATTGCAGACATGACAAGAAACAAAGCAGAGCTGCAGTCCTGGGTGGTTCTGACTCTGGGAAATGGAGCAGGCCTCGAGGTGATATGTTTGGGGCTCATGTGCAGTGTGATCCAGGTTTGGGGTGAGCCATTCATGTGGCCTAACACTGGTTTGGGGCACCCTCAGGTGTGACCCTGGTTCCCACCTTTCCTTTTTCTTGTCTTTATCTCTTTCCAAAAGTACACAAGGAAAATCTTAGAGGTGTACAGTGCACCTTTCTGAAATATGGGTAACCCGGTATCTATTCCTAAAACATCACTTTAGGCTGTAGTATGAGAAATTGTAACCATTTTTAAAAATAAATTTTAAAAAGAAAAGGATAATTTTTCTTTTCAGCTCAATATGGGGTCAAAATAAGTTAAAAAGTAAAGAGACATGGGCTCAATATGGCACCTTAAATTTTAATACAATATTCCAGCTTGATCTCTTTTATAAAAAAGAAAAAAAATAGGCAAAAATCTCATTAGCTAGGTTTCTATGGCCCCATATCAAGAGCCCAAATTACATAGACCTTATACAATCTCTTGTGCCTTGTGCCAATGGGGCCAGCTAAAACACAGCCAGACCTAATAAAAGGTAAACTCTTAAATGATCCAAACAAAACACCCAAACACCCAACCAACAGAGCCAAGAGAGGTTCCGAAGGCCCCAGAGGAAGACTCAGAAACTAGTTCATCTCCTTCTTCTAGTAGATCCTCTCCCAGGGCCACTTCCTCCATCCCACCACCTTATTAACCTATCACTCCCTATTACCAAAAAAATCCAGCCCTAGTGGTATAACAAAAAAGGATACTTCCTACCATCCCAATGATTCAAAAGCTAATATATGCCCACTCAAAAAGTCTCAGCAGGGTGTTATAAGAATACATGTACCCTTTTCCATGAGTGATCTGACCCAGATTAAACAAAAACTGGGGCAGTTCTCAAATGACCCAGACAGGTTCATAGATAAATTTCAGATTTTGGTTATAACTTATGATCTAACTTAGACAGGTCTTCATGCCTGTTTTCTACTTGTCGCACCCCGTTAAAAAAAAAAAAACCCATATATGGGCCACAACAAAGGCTAAGGCCAATAAACTACGTGCTCAAAATAATGACAGAGATATGAATACAATTACAGTACCTGAAAGAGATCCTGATTGGCAATACCAAATTAGAGAGGAGGGCACAAAAAAGTAATGAAATAGTTACTCATTTAATTAATAAAATTAAAAAGTATATGAGTAAGCCAGTCAATTATAAAATGATTAGAAAACTTACCCAAGACAAAAAACTTCCTGCTTTATTTCTGGGGCACTTAACTAAAACCCTTCATAAATATACTAATATTGAGCTCAACTCATAGGCCAGAAAAGTTTTATTTAAAACATATTTTATTAGCCAGCCTGCCTCAGATATTAACAAAAAAAACCTTCAAAAACAGTCCTCAGACCCCTATTAACAAACTTTTAAACTTGGCTTTTAGGTTCTTCAATAACAGGGACAAAATGGTGACAAGTAACAAGGCCCAAGAGAAATGACAACAGGCACAAAAAAGGCCCAATTTATTGCTTTGACATTAAAAAAACCCACAAAATCCTGCCTCCACCCAAAGACTCCACCTACAAAGAGGAAAAATAAAAGACCATATGACTGCTACCACTATAGAGAGCCTAGAAACTTACAATAAAACTATAATAAGCTGGGCCCTACTTTACCTGGGATGTGTCCCCACTATAAGGTGGGAAGACACTGGAAACAAGACTGCCCTGTCCTCTGAAGGGAAGAGAGGCCACCTACTCCTATGTTGGTTGCTCTAAAAAATTAATCTCTCAAAGCCCGTCTCAACAAAGTAGGCATCACCCTAGATGAGCCTCAATTCTTGACATGACAGATAAAAAATAAGTTTTATTTTAGATCCTGGGACTTATAAATCTGCCTTACTCAATCCCCTAGACCCTTTTCTAATAAGACCTGTATTGTGGCTGGTGTTGATGGTATCCCTAAGGCCGAACTCTTTACAATGTCTCTACCTACAGATTTAGAAAACTAATTTTCACTCAGGCTTTCCTAGTGTTCCCAAAATCCCCTACCCCATTATTAAAAAGAAATCCTTTTGACTCTTTAGGAACAACTCCTTATCTGGCACCAAAATATTCATCCCCCTTTTTTGAAAATATTAATATCAGCCCCACCAGACAATATATTTAGAGACATACCAAAAAAGTTTTATCAGAGATAGATCCAAAGGTCTGAGATAATAAAATCCCAAAAAAGGCAATTCATTCCCAGCCTGTTGTCATTTCCTTAAAAGACTCAATAACTGTCCTCATAAAAGACAACATCCTATTAAACCAGAGGTCGCCTGGGGGCTTCAGCCTCTGATTTCTAAATTCCTCAAGCATGGCGGTCTTTTAGTTTGTGGCTAGTCCCCGTGCAGTACCCCCATCCTTCCAATACTAAAACCAAATTTAAAATATTGACTAGTCCAAGATTATGAGGCATTAATAAAGGTATAATTCTACTCCATCCTATAGTTTCTCTCCCATAAACTATTTTAACCCAAATATCAATTAAAACTACATGATTTACTATCTTAGATATTAAAGATGCTTTTTTTTCTGTATCCTGTTACACCTTGACTCACAATATGTGTTTGCTTTTAAGTAGACTGATCCTAATACTATAAAAGCTGCCTTAATGTACTTGAACAGTCCTGCCTCAGGGGTTCAGAGACAACCCTCAGTTATTGAAAAATGCTCTGGCAAAAAAAATTGAGGTCTCTAACTCTAAAAAAATGGAGCACTGCTGCAGTAAATGATCTTATTTACAGCTGCATGAAGCTAGACTCTGATAAAAATACCATTAAAGTTTTAATTTCTTAGGAGCTATAAGATACTATGTGTCCCCACAAAAGTCTCAGATAGCTCAATAAAAAATTAAGTATTTAAGATATATCTTAACCTCAGGGGAAGGTACTCTTACTCCTTAAAAAAAAGAGCTTGTCTTAAAACTACAGTTTTTCTTAAAAGTACAATTTCAAATTCTCAATTTCTTGGTCTCCTTTCTACTTAGTTTTATTTATTTTATCCTACCTCACTTCTACTGTTAAATTCCAAACAATTCTTCCTTGTTCTTCAAATCATTCCCATCTACATAAGCCATGGTGATAATCATTGATTATTTCACAAGTTCTAGTAACCAGCAGCAACAGAGAATCCTCTTCTTGCAGGGGGAGGGAGGACATCAATCAAGGTTTTGGTGGGCTTTTTTTTTAATCCTTATCTGTGGTTATATGTAATCTTTCACTTCTAATGTTATTTGTGTCTTCTCCGTGTCTTGATCTTTTCTTAATTTGTTTCCTAATCTGTTTTAAAAATAATTTTTTTCTTTTACTAATAAGGTCTCCTGGATTTTTAAAATTTATTTTATTAATTTCTGATTTTATCTTTATTTATTGACATAACTCTTTTAGTTTTTCCTGTCTCCTAGATTGTATGTACATTGTATTACAATACATTTAATGACATATAAACATTTGCTGTTCAATCATATGTAAGCAATAAAACAAAAAATTGAAATAAATACATTTAGTGTTATATGACTTCATGAGTTGGGCTTTTCTGTACTCTCCCAATATTTTTATGTAACTTTTCTGTTTTTCTTCTGTTCCTAAAGAGTTTGTAAAGTCTTACCACACTGTGCTCCATAAATATGTACAATTACTATGTATTAATCAAAGATTTTTAAAATCATTTAAGGAAATGTGTTAGCTATTCTTATTTAATCTTTATAACATTGTATGTATCAAATCATCACAAGGTATCCCATAAATTTGTAAAATTAAAATGAAATTTTTAAAGTATTCATAATTTCTTATTTGTGCTTCCCTTTAATCTGGATCTTAAGCATCTTTAAATTTCCAATTGTACATTAATCAGGAAATTTTTTGTTGTAATTCTACCCTTATTCTGTTTTGGTGAGTGATGTACTCTGTATGATCTCTGCCTTTTAAATTATGTCGACCTTCATTTTGTGGCTTGGTTCTGTGTTTGTATGGAAAATACAGAACATCTATTCTGCATTTGAGAATGCACAGAGGTATGCCTGTGTGTGGTAACATTTCCTATATGTCATTGAAGATAATTTTTAATGGTCCGAATACTGCTGCCAGCTGTGCCAGTTTCTCCCCATCCAGCTGAAGTTGTTGCCAGGCCTCACTCATATCCATTTCACGAATCTTTGGCAGGAAGAGCTACTCCAGCATTTCCACAAATGTGCACCCCCGGAGTGTGAACTTGTCACGATCTGGCAGGGAACTAAATAATGAATACTAATGATGGAGAAGCCAGACCAGCCCTTTCTCAGGGTTTCTACTTCCTCCTTTCTGTACGGTGGGTGGTCACATCCGCCCTGCCAACATTCCAAGGTGTGTCGGGAGAAGCCAAGAGATAAGGATAGTGACCAACATAAAGTGATAAAGAAGTAAACATACTAGCAGTGGTTGCTAATACAAGCGCTGAAGGAAAAGATAACTATATAAAATGGCTAACACAGGCACCAAGCAAGTACTGCTTCTATTAGTTCCCTTCCCTGTCCTCAAACACCTTCAGCTCCCTTTGGGGAAACCCTTCCTCCTCCACGAAGACGCCGCTGCCCAATAATAACGTGAGCCTCTCTCAGCGCTGCCAGCTTGGAACCCGCTGAAAGCGTGCTGTGACGAGGAGCAGAAACCTGCCAGCAGCTCAAATTCGCGCCTCAGCACAATCAGCCCTGGCGGAGCATGTGCGGTGCTCCTCCTCCTCCTTCGGCAGTGGGGGCCGAACGGCAGATGCTGCCCAAATGTGCTCATTAATCAAAAGAAGCTTTCGCCCCCGGACGCCTCTGGGCCTCCGGCAGCCAGAATCTCCGCCGCGGAGCTGAAGGGCGGGGGGCGCCTCCCTCCTGGCGCCCTTAGCAAGCAGCCGCGGCGTCAGACGCAAGCTCTGCCCTGAGCCTAAGGAGAGAAGGGCTCCAAGGTGTTCTGAATGCGGGTTTCCGGGGAGGATGCCCTTGGGGTCCCGCGCCTCCTCCAGAAGCTCCGTGAGCTCCGAGGAGCCGAGCGCAGCGCGCCGCAGCCGCAGCAGCCAGGAGCCGCGCCGCGCGTGTCTGCACCAGTCGCCGCCTCGCCTCCCAGCCCTCTTTCCTAATTTGCCCTCCGAACGAAGTCGGGCCCAAATTCATTCTCTGCACCTGTGAGTGATACACACAAGTTCTCCAGACACGATTCTTCCTCTATTAACCCCCACCCGCCTCGGGGTCAGTTTTTCCACCTTTAACCTCGCAACCACCTGGGGGAAGGTGGCAGGATGGAGGGAATGGGGCGAGGAGAGGCATTTGCCCCTTCAAAGGCACAAAAATCCGTTGCCAAAGCTAAAAGGGTTCGCTTTCTTCGGTTTTTGAACAGTACAGTGGGATGCCTGCTCGGCTGACCGCTGCCCTGGCCCGAGCCCTGCCTTCTCTCGCTTCCCAGCTGACGCTGAGTTCGGACCGCAGTCGCCCGGCTCCTTCGCCCTGTGGTCAAAGTCTGCGGACGGATCGATGCCCGCGCAGGCTTCTCCCTGGGCAGTTCGATGCTGGCTTAGGTTAAGCCTCCGGATTCTCACCTTGGCACCTCCTGTTTATCCTCCTTCACACACACACCCTTCACCATCACCCCCCCACACACACACACACTCTACCACCAAAGGACGTGCCCTTTTGGTAGTGTCGGGGCTCCCAGCCGGAGCGGGGGGAGGGCGCCTCCCTGTCCCCTCCTCCCCGTCCCTGCCTCAGCTCGGGGTTTTACTGCAGCAGCCGGAGGTGACAGCGACGCCTTAGCCTCCTCCTCAGTTGCTTTTGGAGCCCCGGTTTCCCCTGCATCGGGAAAGGCCCCCTCCTAAGAGGCTGGTCCCGGAAGAAGTGAGAACGAGCTACAGATGACCACATTTTAAAATGTAGAAGTCACTGCGCTTCATTCCTCCGAGGACGAGCGTGACCTCCCAGGACAGTGGCAGCGTCTGTGAAGTTGGGACCGTAGAGCAGGGGGAGGGGAGTGGTGCAGCCGACGCACTCTTCGGGAGGAAGTCGCTGGGAGCATGGCGGTTGGACACAAGTTTGCGTGAGAGTGTTTTCCTTTTGTCAATCATTAATCACCGGAATCAGTCTGGCAGAATTGGAGTTTTAGCAATAGTGCAGAGGGCGGGGCCGAACACCTAACTCTGGGAGTCTCCGGGTGCCTCTCACAGTGAAAAGCTGACAGCAGCTGGGGAGGAGCCAGAGGATCCGTGCTCAGCTAAAGCCACGGGGAAGAACCCACAACCTGGAGGTAAGCATCTTCCAAAATATCTACTACAACTGTAAAGCAGCTGGAGTAGGACAGAATTCCTGTCTTTACAGAGTGAGGGGGGGTTAATAGTGAGCTTTAATGCAATGTATCAGTTTATTATTTAACTGCATTACAATTTTTTAAATTAAATGAGTTTTTCCATTTGCCTTTTACTATGTTGGAAACCAAGATGTTTCACTCAGCAGAAGCCAAACTTTGATACTGAAACTTTCCTGGCCAAAAGAAAATTATGTATTATTTCCATTATTTATCTGTATGTTGTTTATTAATAATATTCAAGAACAGTATCTTTGGGATATGCTTGGTTTTCTTAAATATTCATTTTTGTCCAGTTTCATGCCATTATGCAATACTTTTTTGCCCATAAGCTACTTTATGCAATAGATAACCAAGTCAACTACAAAACAGGTGGAGAATTTTCAACACAGAATGGACTTTAACATATTTTTTTCATGATTACTAAACAGCATCTAATTCCTCAAAGATGCCTAAGTGATCATTTATAAGTAACCAAACTTGAGCATCTAAGGAGTCTGGTGAACATTCCACAGGGCTGGAAAAAGGGGTTAGAGTGGACAGAGATTACAGTGAGATTGGAGTGAAATTCTAGATTTGTTTCAATTAAAATGGCATTCAACTAGTTCTCAGTTCACTAATGATCCCACCCCATGATCAAATAAAGAATTTGAGGAATTGTTAAATGTGAAATCTTAATCCTCAAAGTCCTACAAAATGCATCAGGGGAGTTGAGAATGTTGTTTTTCTAAAAGATTTTGTGGTACAGTAGTTATTTTTAATTAAACCAAAATTAAGAAATATGTGAACATTTTTGTTAAGGAACTTTTAAAATTTATGTATAAAACTTTGAAATTTTAGTAACTTGACTTCCACTTCTGAATTATTACTATGCTTCTTAAAAGCCATCATTTTAATGATTTTTTATAACTATGATTTTGCATATAGATTACCACTAGGCCACCAACAACATACTTTAGCATGAAATTCCCTGACAGACTTTTTCAAATTTTTTTTTTTGGTACCAGAGATCGAACTCATGCTTGCAAGACAGGCAGTGAAACCACTGAGCTAAATCCATGGCCCGCAAATATTTCTATGTAACTTCTTAATAACAATAAATGAATATGGGTTTTCAAGCCAAATACCTGGACAGTTTGGAATTTTACTGGATATGAAGTTGAAAGTCAAATAATCCTCAACCGTCATTGGTTTTCTTACTCCACTGTGTGCAGATTTGCAAATATTTTTATAAAAACCATTCTTTTACTTCTCTAGCCAATTTTACCCTGTGTCAGCATAAACTATTTTAACATCACATATACAAGAAGCAGAATCTTCATTAAAAAATTACCTAAATGGGACTCAACTTCTAGAATGGTGGTGTGGAAATCTTTGCAAACCTGCTGTTTACAAAACAACAATAAATGGTAAAAATTGTCTCTAGACATTATCATGAAGTAATATTTATTCAAGGCAATCTATAGCATTTCAGTAAGAACAGCAAGAGTTAGTGACTTTTGAGCCACAATCCATTTCCCACCCTCCTATATCTGGGTGTGATGATGATCCAATTGGCTGATTGGTGCTTCATTGTGAGTAAATACAGCCAAAAGTACAATGTTCTCTCTCAGCCTGTGCTCTGGTCTGAAGCTATAGTAGATTCCAAGAAAAAGCAGGCCATCAACATTTCTCATCTTCCTCAGCTTTCTGTTAGACAAGCTTTATTTCAGGCAAGACCAACTGTGAAATCTGAGACTTTCTTCTCTCAGTTACCATCCCACCTACCGCTCTTATGGCAGAAGATGAAAAGCTTAACAATAAAAAGACAAACAACCCATTTTAATTTGGACAAAGGATTTGAAATGCCATTTTCCAAAGAGGATATACAGTTGTTATGGTTACAGTTAGGGTCATAACAACAATAAAAAAAAATAATAACAAGTGTTGGAGAAAATGTGGAGAGATTAAGGTTGGAGGTAGGATTTGGTGATAGAATGCTTACCTAGCGCATGCAAGCCCTGGAGATGATCCTCAGCACATACACACAAAAGATCACAGAGAATTTGGAACTGTGGGGTGTAAAATAATGGCACTGCTAAAGAAGACATGCATATATCGAAGAGAATCAAAAACTTACGTCCATGGAAGAACTGATACACAAATGCTCATAGCAACATTACTCATAGTAGGCCAAAGAGTGGAAACAATCTTAGTTTAGTGAATCCACAATCAGCAAATCTATAGAAACACCAGGCAGACTAATTTTGTCAGAGGCTGGAGTGGAAGGGAGAGTTAGAGAGAAATGGGGAGTGACAGCTAAAGGGTATGTAGGTTGTCCTTGGCAGTAATGTAAATGGTCTAAAACTTATAGTGATGACTGTGTAAATATGAATGTCATACTACTAAATACTATTAAACTGTACATTTTAAATTGGGTGAATTATATGCTGTGTCAAAAAAGCATATGATATATATCTCAACAAAGCAGTTTTAAAAAATTATCTGAGGTAAAAAAGAACAAATGAGTGTAAAACTTGGAATTCCTAGTACCCTGTGTACAACTAGACCAATAGTTTATGTGAGGCTTTTTTCCCAAAGGGCCACATTGAAATATATGAAATAATTTAAAATGGCACTGGTATTACACAGCTATATGATTTGCACATATTTGCATACCTGCCCAAGCTACCTTCTATTTAAAAAATAAGTCAGATGTTATTAATATAGGCCTAGAGAAAATTTGCATACAATGTCATACCATTTTGGATTCATCCATTCATTATACTACTGCAGAACCTGTGAGGATAATTGCTCCTCTTGCTTTTAGAAAAACCTAGACTTTTACCTATTCCTCAGGCCAAGTGTTGAGTTCATGATGACCCACAGTGGTGAGCGTGGGAGGTGCCTGAATCTCAGTAAAAAGTGCATTTGTTCCTACTCAGATCAGCCAGTCTTTTTACACTCGGTTGGCCCCAAAAGCTAAAGTCCTGAAGGAGCCAGAGGAGCAGCCACTGTAGAACTCACAGCATACTGGCATATCCTTGCTGGAAAGCACCTGCTATAAGTACAACAATCTCAAATGCAGGAGAAGCTCCTAAATAATTAATTCATTTCTTTCATCACCTTTTAAGTTTTGTGTTCAGGCAAGCTTCCTGAGCCTATACTAAGAATCATGGAATTGGGGGATAAAGCTTTGTCCTCAAATGGTCATATAAAATTAGTGAGTCTCAGAGTCTCTGGGGGTGATGAACATCTGCATGTGTTGCTAGAATAGTTATGAGTACACTGAACCAAACTGTACCCTTATCTTTAAGAGTCAAGTCTACCTACTTCAAAAAACCTCCAGCATTTTTCATTCTCACAAGCATAGGCTTCTCCTTTTCCACACATGTATTGAAGAGCAAACCGTGCTGATGAAACTATGTTCTGTCACCACTTTTGTAGAGGTCCCATTGTCATATTTTGTCCAATTAAAAAGTTTCTATAGAATACTTTTTAATGTCTAATCATTTGTCTCTGAGTTAAATACATGTAGAAAAGTTAAATCATTGTTATTATTTTTATATATTGTTTTCATCAAGATTAGGGTTCCATTTATTCAACAGATATTTATCATACATCTATATTACACCAAGACACTTTTAGGCTCTGCATAAGTAATAGGCAAAACATAAAAATTCCTGCTTCAAGGAGCTTAAGTTATAGCAGGGATGTCAAACATCATAAATACAACAACAATAAGTGAATGTGTAGTGCAAGTAAAGGAGATAAGAGCTCTGGAGAAAAATAAAAGACAACACAGTGAGGTACAGTTTTAAATTGTAAGACCAGGCTAGGAAATAAGATCCTATAATTTTGTAATTATGTAATAATCATGCACAAGCCTGGCCACCATTCTGGTACTGAGATAATGTTAGCAGGTGATGGGTCTCCAGGTGCTTGGTTTCCTGAACAAAGATTTGGACAGGACACAGAGAAGGTAGTAGGATATACATTTATTGAAGGTAGAAAAGAAGTATGCTCTGCAGAGTAACAGCAGGCCAGTGAACAGACTCACAGAAGCCATGAGGATAAGGGAAGGGGGTCTTTTATATCTGGAATCCCTGAATTGGCTTCTCTCTCATGCAAATACGGCATTGAGATGATTGTCCTGTCAAAAACTCAGTTGGCCTGGCACCAGATTCAAACTGTCCTATCAAAGACTTGCTTGGTTTTGTGCCAGATGTAAATAACAAATTGAAAATAGCACTTCTCTGATTGGCTGCATGTACAGTGCTCAGGAGTTGCGGAGTCACCCTGGATCCTGTGTTCTACACATGTGCCCTGGATCTCCATGACTTTGACAGATTATGCCCAGGTGTTTGACTGACTTTGCCTCAACCCTAACTTCATACTTCAATAGGCCACAGGACTGCCAGCTCCAAATTAACTTCTTTCTTCCCCTTGAGAACTTTGGTTTCTTCTTCCCATTAGTTTTAACCACCAGCATTGTTTGGCTGTCTAGATATTCCATTGTTTCATGAAGAAAAATATATTATCCCCAACACATCCTAAGCAAGCACAAGGAAGAAATAGCCCAACACCTGCACTGAAGAATTACAACCTAAATAAAACATTGTCCTGTGATAACAAAAATTCTCACTCATTCAAATAAATAATCAGCCTGGGCTTTTAGTTTCCTGTTGATCTTTTTGTCTAGTTTTATTATGAATTCTTGCAGCCTTACAAGGGATTGTGTATAAATAATTAAGACTTGGTTCCTCATAGTTAAAAGCTCTTGAAGAGTAGGAGTAAGAGAAAAAACTGAGGGGAAGAAACCCTTAAGGGCCATCTCGAAAGGTTAAGGGAGGACACATTTTTCCAAATTACAGAGAATAAGCAGAGCATCAAATTCCACAGACCAACTGGAGGGGAAAAAAGGAGGAAAAAAATGACCAGAGAGTCTTTATTTCACCAGATGG